GGGGGGGGGGGGGGGGGGGGGGGGGGGGGGGGGGGGGGGGGGGGGGGGGGGGGGGGGGGGGGGGGGGGGGGGGGGGGGGGGGGGGGGGGGGGGGGGGGGGGGGGGGGGGGGGGGGGGGGGGGGGGGGGGGGGGGGGGGGGGGGGGGATTTGGGAGTCCCACGTCGATTGCAAGGACGCTGGACTTCGAAGGGAGGGGGAGATTGTGAGATCGCATATCGGTTGGAGAGGAGAACAAAACATTTTTTATAAGGGTGTGGAAACCTCTCCCTAACAGACGCGTTTTAAAAGCCTCGAGAGAAATCCTAAAGAGGACAATATCTCCTAGCGGTGGGCTGTTACAATATCTGTGTTACTCTTTCACGGTAACTATGTGCTCAAAAAGAGAGAGAGAGAAGCTTGTTGAACCTTCGTGTAATTCTCTTGTTTTGTTCCCCTTTATCTTTAATCAAGGAAATTGTGTAGTGTTACTAAAAATATCTTCATTTTTGTTACTTGTCATTGGAGGAATGGAGAATAGTCAACCTTATGTCTATCTTTCTAATTAATGACATGGGATTCCTTTGTTTCAGCAAATAAGAGATTAGTGTATGAAGAAATAAAGAAGGCGGTTGAGAGAGACAGGTCAATGGTGAAAGTTTCTGAGTTATCAAGGCATGGACTCATGGAAATTACAAGGAAGAGGGTATCTATCCTAAATTCTCCTTTATTCCCCATTTTCTTTCCCTGATAATAGTGTAAGTAATCACTGAAGAACTAAGTTCTTTATTCAGACCTTAAAGTTGTAGTGTTTGGTGGACAGGTTCGGCCAAGTGTAACGTTTATGATCAGTGAACCGTGTGCTTGCTGTCATGCTACTGGAAGAGTCGAAGCTTTGGAAACCTCGTTTTCAAAAATCGAGCAGGAAATTTGTCGACAGCTTGTAAGTAAAATATATTTTACATCGAGTGATCATCATACAATATTAACAGGCGATCGCCTCTGGTTTCAATTTCCCATCTGCCAAATCTCTGGAAAGTCGACTTAGTTTGTGCCATTTTGCATCACTGTCTCTTTCCATTGTGGGCAGGCAACAATGAAGCAGAAAACAGATCCCGAAAATCCAAAATCATGGCCGAAGTTCATTTTAAGGGTCGACCATCACATGTGTGACTACTTAACTTCGGGCAAAAGGACACGACTCGCAATCTTGAGTAGTTCCTTGAAAGTTTGGATCATTTTGAAGGTACATATGTTTCAAAAATATATTTTTGACCAAACAAGATTCTCTCTTAACAATCTATATCTTCAAAACAAACTCTCAATGTAACGGTCCAAGCCCACTGCTAGCAGATATTGTTTTCTTTGGACTTTCCCTTACAGACTTCCCTTTAAGGTTTTAAAACCTTGCGGGAAAGCCCGAAAGGAAAAGCCTAAAGAGAACAATATCTGCTAGCGGTGGGATTGAGGCGTTACACTCAAAGTCCCAAGTATTCTCAAATTTGAAGTTGAAATCCTTCAGGTTGCAAGAGGATTCACAAGAGGTGCATTTGAGGTGAAATCTTTCACAGATGATAAGTTGAGTAGAAGTGAAAATCAAGCGCCTATCTCTTTGTTACAGCCATTAGAGGGTAGAAATAACAACTCTAGCAAAAAAGTCACCCTCTTTCCAGTTAAAAAGTGGAAAGGGACTGGAAGATAAAAGGACGACGGGTTTTTTGCAGCTCGAAATTTCAAAGCCAAGCTCACCGGCTCACAGGTCTTTTTACTTGTCATTATCGCTCAAAAACGTACATTACATAAATTACTCATCCTTGGTTATGAGCTGAGATGCCTTCAAAAGTGTGGCAATGGCATATACAGATGGTTGTAGTGCTAATCTAGCAGTTTTGTTCTAGAGGTGAACTTTTATGCTCTTTCTTGGCTGCTCTGCAACTGATGTAGCTTCTGGATTCAATTTTGAACGCTATCTATTACTGATAATTGTGATGATTGGTCTAAATTCTGAAGTAAAAAGTTCATGGTTCAAAATTTGCTCTCATCCATCCCCATGCATCTCTTTTTTTGCTTCTTTTTTCAGCTTTCAATCTTCACTGCTTATAGTCGACATCGATGGCCGACCGTTCTTCGACTATGGGGGAAGGGGGAAGATTCTTTGACAGACACAAAAGTTTTCCATTCAGACCCTACAGGGGACCTTTTCTTAAAGAAGAGTTTCCTCTTGGGACATCAATATAATGACAAATGAAAGATGGGGGCCAGTAGGAGCTTTTCTGAGTAAAAAGATAATCACCTGAACAGAAGTGAAATAATGTATGGCATTTGGTGAATCTCAATGCTCTAATTCCATACCGTACTGAGCTTTTGGAGTCTAAATCCCGTTAGAGACGTTCAATGTGAGATTCCATATCAGTTGGAGAAGGGAACAAACATTTTTTACAAATGTGAAAACTTCTCCCTAGCAAACGCGTTTTAAAATTTTGAAGGGAAGTCACTTCAATTTCGAGACCACCATGTAGTTCAGAGCTTTTGGAGGCTAAATTCCATCTTTTCCTTTCCAAAAAAAGACGGTTAGAAATGCTCAATATGAGATCCAACATCAGTTGAAAAGAGGAACGAAACATTTTTATAAAGGTGTGTAATCATCCCGACGTTTTAAAATCTTGAAGGAAATCTCAAAAGAAAAAGTTTAAAAAAAACAATATCGACTAAACGGTAAACTTGAGTTGAGAAAATGAATGTATAGTACAACAACATACTAGAAAGAACCTAAGTGCATAAAGTCATCTGCCCCTCTAGATTCATCAAAGATTGCTTTCTCAATGAGTGGCATCAAAATCCATCATTTCTTCTTAAAGAGTTGCCAAAACTTAATAAAGAATTCTATGGTCAATGCTTCATTTTGATCAAAAGAAGCCTCAAGACTTCTCTGATACAGATTTGTATAACACAATTATTTCCCATTCATTGTGTCTATAGGATGAAAAGTTCAGAAACCCATATTTTGGTTGTCCTGCTTAAGCCATTGTAACTATGTTTAATCGAGAAAGATGAGAACTAAAGTATTAAAATATAAATGAGTCAACAAAAACAATTCACATTTTCTGGATTACATGAATACAACTTTTTTCTTGCTATCAAATAACTTTACAGGTAAGGTAGCTGAATAATCTTACCTCTTTCAAAAGCCCCTATAGGATCTCCAAATTAAAGAAGAAAGAATGTAAAACGATTCTCGAACACTTCGACTACAAATTCTCTCAGTTTGAAAAGCTTATCAAATGAAGAATTGAGAGAGAGAGATATTCCATAGAGCACCAGCTGCAAGAAATAGAACAACTGCACATGCCTACATGAACCAACTTAAAATGGTAAATATCTGTTATAGGTGGCCTGCACCTTTCATGTAACTCACTTCAAGCAAACAGTAGAATCAGTCTTTTCCTTCTCTCTAAAACATTCTCCAGTCAATACCAACTCTTCCCCTCATATTCTTTTTTACTGATCCACAATTGCTGGGAGCTCTCCCAAAAATCCCAATATTAATTTTTTTAAAGAACTTCTGATATGTTGTTGTTACCTAGTAGTTACTTGGCCAATTGATCTGTGAGTGTTGAGGTTGTTGATAAATGCTACCTCCTCCTGGTCCTACCGTATCAACTCCTCCAGCCACAGCCGGTGACTGTTGCAGGAGAGGGTGAACTGATGCTGCAGTTACTGTTTGTGCTGGGTGATAGATGCTGGCAAATGTGCCATGACCTGTCTGTGTTGGGGTAAAGGTCACATGTTGACCTTGCGGTGGGAGGTTGTAGAATGAATTTGTGGGCAAGCTCGATAAGTCTCTTCCGGGTGCGCCAATCCATACTGCTGAACTTTCGCTCTACATTGGAAGAGGAAAGAGATTCAATTATTCGTCTGTCATAAAACTTCAAGATATTACACAGAATGCTAGTAAGGCCACTTCATATTTCTTACACTATATTCTTGAAACAGTTTCTTTGATACTTTTTTCAATTATAAAATAATTAGAAAAGATGTTCTTTGTTCACTTTGAATCTGTTAGTACTTGAGAAAATAGTTACTCATCATGTATCAGCAGTTGTTTAACAAATTCTTTAACAAAAGACATGCAAACAGTGACATATTGCTTCTCCTTTCGTTTCCCTAAAAGTTTCATTTTTTATGCATTAAATTGTTACTAAAAGAATACAAGATGCAAATTTGAAGAGAATGAAAATCAAAGGGCAACACCAACCTGTGGTCCAGTGATGTATACATTATTTTCCTTGAACTGCGATGCACCAAGGTCCTCATTAGCGGTGGTATTTCCAGCTGGTGCAGCAGTGCTTGGGCTATAGCCAGGTGCTGAAGAGCCATAGGGACCATAACCACTAGGCACGCCAATGTGAGATGAGTTACCAGGATTGGCTCCCATCTTGTATTGTGGAATTGAATATTTAACTGTAGCAGATGCCGGTGGTGGAGCTGGATAGATACTGCCTCCTTGAGGTTGCTGAGGAAATGCATTATTGCCAACAAATTGATGGATAGGAGGAGGTGGAACATAGAAGGGGGAGAAATAATGACCATATGGTAGGTAGTTGGGAGGATAATGAGAAATATGGAGCCCTGTTGGTGGTCGAAAGACGGGGACAGGCTGCTGAGTCACAGCTATAGAGCTTTGCATGAGCCCAGCTGCTTGAGTTAACAGTGCTGTTGGACCAGCCGTAGTCAGAACCACACCCTACAAGCAAATAAACAATAGCATAAAAACAAGTAAAGGTATTTGCACTGCTCCCAGTGCGGTTCTTGTTTAGTATGAAAGTAAAACACGTACGAGATTATCACTACAGCAATCTAGTATAAGAGAACCGAAGATGAACTAAGCACCAACGTCTACAGGATAGACATAGGGGGGTGGTTCTTATCTCCTATAGAGTTCCCTAAAGAGGAGATGATTGATTAAGACAGCAAGCAGCTTATGAAACTAGGCATATAGAAGAGAGGCGTAAAAATTTAGAGTTCTCCAGGTGTAATTAAAATAGTAAGAAAAAAGACGAGCAAACAAAAAAGAAGAACATCCTAGAAAGTTGATAATTTAACGGCAACTGGATCTTCAAGAAGTGTCAATAGTCGCCCCATGGTAACAATTAACCCCTCATAACATTTATCTTAATGAAGACCTAAAAGAATAATAATAAAAAAAATCCTGAGTAGATACCTCTTGAGGAGATTGAGAGCTTGAAGGAGACAACAGTGCAACATTGCCATTGTACTTAGCAGCAACTCCAGGAGAAAGAAAGGGGGAGAGTCGACCGTCATTCTCACTCGATCGGTAAAACTGGTTATAGTAACTTGAAGGGTCAAAATGTTGTTGAACCTACAAGAAAAGTAGCAAATATGACATCTCCAATAAACCTTTTAGGGCAGTGAAATTAATTGAATGAACAGACACCAAAAAGACGAAATAGCCACTCCAAATCAATACTAAAAATGTAGTTAACCATACAAAACTTAAAAGATTGGCATATAATAAGCATTATGTTGAGTACTCACAACGAAGTTGGGAAGACGAGAAGCATCACGGCCCTGAGAATCAGAGTTTTCAACTGCTGCAATCTGACTCCCAACTACAGGGGAGATGAAACCAAAACTGTAACCTGAAGAAGTTTGAGCAACGGAGTTTGTATGGCCTCCAGACGGTAATACTGTCACCTGCTTTAAGTCATTGTACTCGTGAATTGTGCTTGATGGAAGTTCTCCTCCAGTGGGTGATAAATTCTCAGGCACATGCGAGGGAGATTGTGGACGATCAGGAGAATCTACTTCTTCAGTACTTCTTTGTGCATTAGGATAACTGAAATGAAATCATGTAAATTTTGTAAAGAAAAGGCAGTCACACCAATTTCTAATCATTTGTGGTGCATAAAAAATTATTCTACTACGAGACATTATATTCTTCGTTAATTATTCAACACACATCCAACCTCCCCAAACAAAATTGATTCAATATGAGAAGTGAAATATCCAACCAATGCCATAGTTAAAAACAAATTAAGATCTGTAATTGCCAACCTTGAAGTTACTTCCTCTACATTTTCATCAGCATCCATTGAAGCTTCAGAAACGGGTGTATGTCTCTGGTCACTCTCCAGACCGTTTGGAACAATGGCAGAAACTCCAAAACCAATGCCAAAACTTCCAAAGCTTAGCTTCGATCGTTCAGAATCAGGAACCTGGATGTGGTTTGGAAGAATAACAAGCTGACTTTTTGATACATGCAACTCTTCCAATTTCTTCTGCAATTTTGAAGTAGCATCTTCTGAATCAAGGATCCTCGAAGCAGGCTCTAAAAGTTCAGTGTCATTAAAGGCAACACCTGAAACCTCAGATGCAGCAGCAGCCGCACTGACAGTTCTCAATTGCTGGATAACTGAACTTGCAGTCTTTGGTTTCCATTCCTTATTAGAACTAGCTGTTATGGATGTAAACCATGTACAAGAAGTCACAATTATGTACATGTTAACTTTTCGATAAAGATTAAAAAATAAAATCAAGTGGACAAAACAAGCCTAGAATTTCAACCGAGTGGTCATGATTTTGAGATATTAAAGATTATATGAATTTCCTAACTACTATATTGTAATACAAGACAATGATTTTGAGTTTTCATCGTTATCAAACATTGAGATCAAAGAATATTTTGCTATGAATGAGAGAACACATTATCTGTACCCCCTTCTTCATCCAGCATTGGGAAGGCTGAAGTCCTGAGGAAGAACAAATTGATAGTTTAGGATCCTCAATGGTGTGTTTTGTGTAATTACTACAGAGGTGTGAATTTCCATGGAACATCTGGGGTAATATCTTCCAAACGTTTTGGTGTTAGTCTGGCTCCAAACAAAAATTAACAGGACATAATCAAGGTGTCCTTAGTTCTTTCTTTCCTTGACGATGATTGCGTTCACTTTCAGGGAATAGCTAGGTCTTGAAAGGATGTTGGAGCGTAGCTCATTTCAATGCTTCTTTTGAGTGTTTCCA